AAGGGCCCAAGAGGTAAAAGGACCTGTCTAGATCCCACGGTAGGGATTGTTTGGTGAGAAAGAACCGAAACTCCTCTGTCTTCGTATGATTTCTCAGGAGCTGCTGGGCCCACTTGAACTGGCTCAGCTGGGAAAAGGACAAGTTGATACAAATGAGGTTTCCTGGGTGGAGGGTCACTCCTGGGCATCCAAGGATGGGAAGGAGAACCACCAGGCGTGGAAGACTCCTTCTTCTCAACTTGTGCAGGTAGTTCCTCTCTCTCTCTTAGTTTATTTTTCTCTCTGCTCTACTCTTCTGCCAGTATCTTTGTTTACAGATATATAATTCCCTACAAAATCCTGTCTATCTGTTTGTCTGTCTATCTATCTATCTATCTATCTATCTATCCATAGACAGAAAGAATCTGGGCTGGGAATGTAGCCCAGGAGTAGGCCACTTGCCTAGCATGTACAAGGCTCTGGGTTCTATCCCCAGCACCTCAGAAAAAAAGATCACTGACAGCTTAAAAACCTTTCTAGATTATGTTGGAAATTCCTTTCCCCCCCAGGGGTGACAGTATTCCTTGTGGTTTGCCAATTACATATATCTTCCTAAACAGTTTGTTTCTTCTTATATGCCTTTGACCTTGGCACTGTAAGAGTCCTCCACTTGATGTATGCAGGAATGGTTTACTCAGTTTTGCCTCTCCATGGCCCTCCATGGGGGGAATGTCACCATTCTGCCATTCTGCTGGGGAGGGGCAGTTGGGTTGTCTCTAGTTGGTTACCCTTAGTTGGTATTACCAAGATCATTCTTTTACCTGCTGCTAGTGAACACATAGAAGTTTCTTTGTCTTCTATCCAGAGTGAAAGCACTGGGTCATGAGGTGACTATCACCTCATTAGTTTCATGAGACTAATGGGTTCCCCCCATTTAGGTGACAATTCCTGTGGCTCCACACACTAACCCTAGCACGATCAGATTAAAAGTTGTTTGTCTACCTGCTGGGGGAAAGTGGCACCTCACTGTCATTGTTTATTGGCATTTTCTGTTTTATTATTTGAAGTATGATGAGGGAGAGGCGTTTGCTCATGGAGCTATATATAGTCTGTGTCCCCAGAGACCAGGGGATTTTGAGCATTGCCACGTTTGTTTAGGATGAGGGAGGACAGCAGCAGACAACCCCAGAAACATGTCACTTTCTTACAACACTCCAGCCCAGGCTTTCTGACCACACTCTGACCCTGTCCTTCTTCCCGAGATGTCACCAAGGGCTTACTCACCCGCCAGCCTCTCAGCTTTCCTTAGCCCACGCCTCTCCCTAAAATGAAGTCATTAGAATGCCTGGAGCACCAGCCTTACGTGGGATGTGATGCCCCTTTCCCTCACCCAGGCTGTCTGCAGGGAAGAAAATTCCAAACAGTTCAGCCTGACTTCACTCATATTTTCCACCTGAAGCCAAGTGGGAGGAAAACCAGCTGGAGGTTTTTGGAGTGGAGCCTGGGGCAAGTAGGGGCAGGGTATCATTGTCACCTATTACCATGAACTGAACCTGTGTCTTGAGGCTTTTCTTCCTGAATGCAGCAATGCTGAGGATAGAAGTTTCAAGAGCTCTGGACCCAGTTCTTCCACTTCTAGATGGGTGACTTTGGACAGGTGACATCACCTCTGTGAGCATCCCCTGGCCCATCTGCAAGTTGGGTGTCCACTGGACACTATGGGTAGGGTGACTTAGTGCTAGGACTGGCTCAGCGCCTGGAAATTAGGAAGAGTGTTACAAAAAAATTATAATAATAAAATCTTTCAAACTTTGAGAGATGTTCTGGAGTCAGTCGATTAGAATTGGTTTACTTAAACTGTGGCTCTTCTTTCAAGATTTTTTTTGGTGTTTGAACTCAGGGATTGCAAAGCAGCTTTCTACTGCTTGAACCATGCCTCCAAGTCCATTTTGCTCTCGTTATTTTGGAGATGGGAGTCTCAAAAACTGTTTGTCTGGGCTGGCCTTGAACTTGATCCTCCCGATCTCAGCCTCCTAAGTAGCTAGGATTACATTGTGAACCACTGGCACCCAGCAAGAAGATACATTTTTCAAAAACATGTGAATGAATGTGACCATAACTGCAAATAACACACTAAATGTAAAATAAAAGATGATTCTGTGGTTATAGCTGGATGGCAGGGCAGTAAATGCATGAGTGTCTCTCCTCAATTACTTTTTATAATACAATGTTTTAAAATTAAAAAAACAGAAGATACTTTTTTTTTTTTTGGTACTGGAGTTTGAACTCAGTATTCCTTGAGCCATTCCTCCAGCCCTTCTTTGTGAAGGGTTTTCTCTGAGATAGGGTTTCCTGGACTATTTGCCCAGGCTAGCTTCAAACTGCAATTCTCCTGATATCTGCCTCCTGAATAGCTAGAATTACGCTGGTTCCCAGCCTATTTTATTATTTTATTTTATCTTATTTTACCTTGAGACAGTGTCTCACTAAGTAGCCTAAGCTGGCCTGGGAATGCACAATCCTTTTGTCTTAGCCCCCCGAGTGCTGGGATTACAGACATGTACCACTGTGCCTAGCTCAAGTTTAGTTTCTTAATGTTTAAAAAATGAATCAATGAATATAAACCGAACCTTCCCCACAAGGCCCTGAGTCCAGCTTTGGAAAAAGAGGGAGAGTGGGGGGTGGGAGGTACAATGACATTGATTCTTGACAACTTTCAGCTTTTTATTGAGTACCCAGGGCTGACTTGGAGCCAGTGTGAGTTCCACAGCAGCCCTGGGAGGGAGGTGCAAAGGCCACTGTTTGGGGAAGAAACCTGAGACTCAGAAGGAAAGAGATTTGCCTTAGGCCACACAGTAAGTCTGGGGGTAGAGCAGACATAAGAGCCCATGATGCCCTAGTCCAGGTCCAACTCTCCGCTGTGCCCTGATGTACTGGCCCACTCCTGACACCAGCCCCTTCCTGAGCCTTTGCTCCTTTGACCTTTTTGTCCTCTCTGCTCTCTACACTCCTGTGAAATGGCCTTTTTTTCCCTTTTTTTGGCAGTACTAGGGTTTGAACTCAGGGCTTCATGCTTGCTAGGTAGGCGCTCTACCACTTGAGCCACTCTCCCAGCCCTTTTTTGTGATGAGTTTTTTTTGGTTTTTTTTTTTTAGATAGGGTCTTGCCAGTGATTTGCCTGGGCAAGCTTTGAGCCATAACCTCCCTGATCTCTGCCTCCTGAGTAACTAGGATTACAGGCATGAGCCACCAGCGCCCAGCCAGAAAGTCAAATATTTTTTCTAGAATTCAACTTCTACCATGAAAAATACTCAAGGATTTAAGTTTTACCATTAATTTCTTTGCTTCACAAAAAAATGCGTGTTTTTTTTTGGTAGGTTTTTATTTATTTATTTTATTATTCATTTATTCACATGTGCATACATTGTTTGGGTCATTTCTCCCCTCTTAGTTTTGTTTTTTAAGAGTCATTCATTGCTGGGGTCTGGGAGCCCATACCTATAATCCTAGCTACTTGGGAGGGTGAGATTAGGAGGATCAAGGTTTAAGGCCAACTGGGGCAGATAGTTCTCAAGACCCCATCTCCAAAATACCCAGAGCAAACAATGGACTGGAGGTGTGAGTCAAGCAGTAGACTGCCTGCTTTGCAAATCCCTGAGTTCAAACCCCAATCCCACCAAAAAGAAAAAAAAGAGTCATTCATGCTTACTCTAGGAAGTTTGGAAAATTCAAATAAATACAAGAAATCCCAGCTGAGCATTGGTGGCCCACGCCTGTAATCCTAGTTACTCAGGAGGCAGAGATCAGGAGGATCTGGTTCAAAGTCAGCCCCAAGCAAATAGTTCATGAGACCATATCTGGAAAAAAAGACCATTGCAAAAAATAGCTGGCAGAGTGGCTCAAGTGGTAAGAACGCCTGCCTAGCAAGAGTGAGGCTCTGAGTTCAGACCCCAATACTGCACACACACACACACACACACACACACAATCCACCCCTCCCATTCCCCAGAGAAATGCATAGTCATATTGTGGTGTTTTTTCTGATGGCGTTTGTCCCCACCCCCACCCCAGTCAGACTGGGTTTAACTTAGATGGCTAAATAAATAAAACGATTCTGATACTCAATTTACAGAGTTGTCTTCATGTCCTTCTAACTAGCCTGTGATACTTCCAACAGCTCTTGATACATTGTCCCCTCTGGGAATTGTGGGGGAGGGGTACATAACCCTCTACTGTTAGCCTCACTTCTGAGAAGGTCAGGTTCAGGGCACCATGACTAGCATTAAGCAGTATCCTTTTCATTTTATAATTCTGCCTGGAGTATTATCTTTCTAGAACCTAACTCTTTTTTTTCTTTCTTTCTTAAACCCAGATGTATCCATCTCAGTGAACTGACAGTGAGCATTTATTTCACCTCCTCCCGGTTCATGCATTCTTCCAGTCTTGGTAACTGCAATGTTTTGTCTGTCCAGACTGAAAACAATCAGGACAGAAACAAAGTTTAGTCTCACAGGATGTGTCAAGATGAGCCTGGGAAAACTGAGCTGTGGGTTGTACTGCTTCTCTGAATCAGCTGGTACTTTGTTATGTGTCTGGTTTTTAAAATTCCCTAGAAGTCACCTGATGTCCAGAATCTTCTCTGATCAAGGATGGGGGAAATTTGAAGTTTTCATCAAACACACTGATGTCTCAAGCTGTGAAAAAGAGTCCAAATGCCAAAAGCAAGAACCCCAGAGCACTGTCTGCACCCCTGTGATACGCTGGTAACTGTCTAACACATTCAGCACGTGCTCCGTGTCCTGGACCATCTGCTGGGCAAAGTTCCAGAACAGTGAGACATCTCAGGATTCATCTGCCTTAGAAATGACCTGTCTCTGCCAGCTGCTAGTTCCTCTATGTCCTTTAACTGGCCATGTCTTGAGGTCTTCTTGCTGTGGTCTGTTTTGACGTATGGTCCCCCATTGTGAAGCTCAAAGATGACCTTGTTCTGCAGCCAGGATAACTGTGAAAGAAGGAGCCCTGTATGCAGAAGTCAGTGGGAAGACAGAGCTGCCTAGCATGTTCCCACCAAACCAGTCAGTGGAAGGCCTTCCCATGGAGGCCTCTAACAGATCCCTGAACACTACAGAGACCCCAGAGGCCTGGGATCCAGGGGTCCTCCAGGCACTCAAGGTCTCCCTCACCGTGGTCCTTTCCATGGTCACACTGGCCACTGTCCTCTCCAACGCCTTTGTGCTCACCACCATCTTACTCACCAGAAAGCTCCACACGCCCGCCAACTATCTCATCGGTTCCTTGGCCACCACCGACCTCCTGGTTTCCATCTTGGTCATGCCCATCAGTATTGCATACACCACCACCCACACCTGGACCTTTGGCCAAATCCTGTGCGACATCTGGGTATCTTCTGACATGACGTGCTGCACAGCCTCCATCCTGCATCTCTGTGTCATTGCACTGGACAGGTACTGGGCCATCACGGATGCACTGGAGTACAGCAAACGCAGGACAGCAGGCCGTGCAGCCTCCATGATCGCCATGGTCTGGGTCATCTCCATCTGCATCTCCCTCCCCCCGCTCTTCTGGCGGCAGACCAAGGCCCAGGAGGAGATATCCGACTGTCTGGTAAACACCTCTCAGATCTCCTACACCATCTACTCCACCTGTGGGGCCTTCTACATCCCATCCGTCTTGCTCATCATCCTCTACGGTCGCATCTATGTGGTGGCCCGGAGCCGCATCCTGAATCCGCCCTCCCTCTATGGGAAGCGCTTCACCACGGCCCATCTCATCACGGGCTCCGCAGGCTCCTCCCTCTGCTCGCTCAACCCCAGTCTCCATGAGGGCCACTCCCACGCGGCGGGCTCGCCTCTCTTTTTCAACCACGTGAAAATCAAGCTTGCTGATAGTGTCCTGGAACGCAAGAGGATTTCAGCTGCTCGGGAAAGGAAGGCCACTAAGACTCTGGGGATCATTCTGGGAGCCTTTATCGTCTGCTGGCTGCCCTTCTTCGTGGCATCCCTGGTCCTCCCCATCTGCCGGGACTCGTGCTGGATCCACCCCGCCCTCTTTGACTTCTTCACCTGGCTGGGCTATTTAAACTCTCTCATCAATCCTATCATCTACACTGCGTTCAATGAAGACTTTCGACAAGCATTTCAGAAAGTTGTTCACTTCCGGAAAGCCTCCTAGTCTTTCTTATTTGGTGGTGATTCTTGTTCTCTTTTGTGTCCTGTAACCCAACTGGGATTGTCTTTTTTTGTTGTTTCTCCTGAGGCGTGGGTTAATTTTGTGATATCTTGGGTCTTGGGTCAATCAACAGAATTGTCTGTTTTGTTACCTGTGTCTTCTTGACTTTTGAGCCACCCAAAGCTGGGCTGCTGTGTGATAGGGGACATTGAAGACTTGCCTTAGCATAACCTTTTCATGGTTCTTCTGGGTGGAAGAAGGATGGCCCACAGGATTCACAGGATTTTCTGACTCTGTAGAAAAGACCCCAGGCTCAGAGGGAAGACTTTCGGATCTACCTGAGATGTGTGTGGAGCTAGTGGAGGGTGGATAAGATTAATTCTCTTTCTGAATGGGAAGGGAATTTGGAGCCAGGATGGAAGGGTCTGTATTCTCTGTAGCACCATGATTAGAAAACAACACTGAGGAATTTCTTCCACTGGGTCCCCCTTACACTGGTCCATGAGGAGAGTGTAAGTGATGTAGAGTGACTCAGAGAGAAGTTACGGAAGGTCAGGATGATTTAGATCACATCAAGTACCCTGTACCTTCTCCTGCAATATCCCGGTACCATCTTAATGTTCTGAGGTTAAAACCCACAATCACCTCACTCAAGTAGATTGATAGGTGTTGGATCTACTGAGCTTCGAGTGGGACAACATACTGATTTTTTTAAGTTGTTTTTTATATCCCATTCTCATTAGAGTTCTTAAGATGTTGAGTCTTATCGAATAAAAAGCCGAGACATCATGACCAGCAAAGTGTATGGGTGATGCGTCCCTCTGTACCTGGAGGTTGAGGTTTGAACACTTATTCTAAATATAGAAGAGTCAACCTGTCAAGGTCAAGCAGCGATTAGAAAAAGAACTATTCATTCAGTACCTATGATGCTCCTTACTTCCATTTTCTCATTCACTCTCCATCCTTACTTTATAGATGCACTGAAGGAACATGCCTGTGTGTAGGAAGGGCTCATAGAGACAGCCCTTCGGCAGACCCCCTTAGGATGAGCCCTGGGAGATGGAGCTGCGATGAGGACTCTTGGGGGAGAAGGGGCAGAGCCAAGGAAGGCATGGCAAGCCACAGCCAGGGCAAGAAGAGCAGGAGCAGAGCTTGGGAAGCCCCGGGTGCTCCAATGTTTGGTGGGATCTCTGGACACAGAGAGAAGAGTGAGAGTCAGACTATGGGATGTCAGAGAGGAAGGGGAAGCTGTTGCAGGGGAGGGGGTGTTACCTAGAAGAGTTCATGCTGGGTGTGTCACAGTGTAGTCTCTGGACTGTCTGTATCAGAATCACCCTGGGAGTTTGTTGACTTTGGAAGTCTCAGGAGGTCCTTACCTGAGACGCCCAGAATCAGAACCTCCGGCAACAAGGTCCAGGAGTCTGCTATGTATGTATGTATGTACGCATTTATAGACAAAGCCTCACTATGTTGCCCAGGCTGGTCTCGAGCTCTTGGGCTCAGCCTCCCACTTGGGGGAGTATCTGGGGCTACAGGTGTGTACCACTGTGCCTGCCATCATTCAAAAGCTAAGAGTCTGCTTTTTCTTTTTTTTTTTTTTTTGATGGGACTGGAGTTTGACCTCAGGGCTTTGTGTTTGCAAAGCAGGTACTCTAACCACTTGAGCCACACCACCAGTCTATTTTGCTCTGGTTATTTTTGGAGATAGGGTCTCACAAACTATTTCCCTGGGGTGGCCTTGAACTCTGGAAACTCAATCCACCCTAATTTCAGCCTCCTAAGTAGCTAGGATTATAGGCATGAGCCATCAGAGCTACCTGAGCCACCCAAGAGTCGGCTTTTTAAATAAATCTCTCTTACTTGCTGAGCCTAGGCCACCTCATAGCATGCGCACTGCTCTTCTCCCCACCCGCTGTGCCCTCCCTCACCTTCCTTTAACTTCCAGCTTATCCCTGGGTCTTCCATCTTGCTCTGAGACAACTTCCTGACCTGGGAAAGACCAAGGACTTGGAGACTGGACAGGGAAGAATGTATAGTATGGTCCAGTGATTAAGGGCACAGGCTTGGATGTCTGATGCACCTGGAATTGCCTCCCAGTTTTGCCAATTTTTAGCTGTGTGACCTGGGCAAATTTCCTAACCTCTATGTGCTTCAGTTTCTTTGGCTATTAAGTGGGGTTGTTAATATAAAAACCATAGGGTTTTTGTGAGGATTAAATGAAGTAGTGATTCTAAGTACTTTGCACAAAAATGTCATGGTTATTACTACTTGACTATTTTGCGCCAATTACAAAAGGAGAAGTTCAAATGTCACCTCCTAGAGGCCTTTCCTGACTAGAACAAAGGTCAACAATTTGGTTTTTAGAGTAGCTTCATTGAGATATAATTCACCTGCCATTGAGTTTGCCCTTTTTAAAGTGCACAATTTATAGGGCTGGGGTATGACTTGGTGATAGGGTATTTGCTTAGGTGTGCAAGGCCCTGGGTTCAATTCTCAGCACTGGGGAAAAAAGTGCCTTTTAGCGCATTTACAGAGTTGTGTAGTTATTGCTATAATCACTATCAGAACCACACATCTAGAGCTGGGAGCTGGTGGCTCACTCCTGTAATCCTAGCTACTCGGGAGGCAGAGATCAGGAGGATCTCGGTTCAAAGCCAACCCAGGCAAATAGTTTTTGAGACACTATCTCAAAATCCCTTCACCACAAAGGACTGGTAGTGGCTCAAGATACAGGCCTGAGTTCAAACCCCAGCACCACAAAAAAGAAAACAAAACAAATCAACAACAAAAAACTCACACATTTAGCTGGGCACAAGTGGCTCACACCTGTAATCCTAGCTACTTGGGAGGCCGAGATCTGGAGGGATCCTGATTTGTGGCCAGCCTAGGCAAATGGCTGAAGAGATGCCATCTCCAAAAATAACCAGAGCAAAATGGACTGGAGCTGTCCATTACCTTGTCCATTACTGTCCAGGTAACTGGGATCACAGGCATGCACCACCATGCAGAGCTTATTGACTGAGATGGGGGTCTTCCTAACTTTTTGCCTGGCTGGCCCCAAGTGCAATGTGAGGCAATCCTCTGGGTCTCTGTCCCCTAAGTAGCTAGGTGTGAGTCACTATGAAGAGTATAATCCATTGAATAGCTATACCTCATTTATTTATCCATCCATTCATCAGTTGATGAACAGTGAGGTTGTTTCTACCTTATGGCTATTACAAATATGCTATGAACTTTTTTTTAACTTTTTTTTTTTGGCAGTACTAGGGTTTGAACTCAGGGCCTCACCCTTGCTAAACAGGCATTCTACCACTTGAGCCACTCTGACAGCCCTATTTTGTGTTGGGTATTTTTGAGATAGGGTCTTTCGAACTATCTGCCTGGGCTGGCTTTGAATCTTAATCTTCCTGATCTCTGCCTCCTCAGTAGGTAGGATTACAGAAGTGAGCCAATGGCTCCTGGCTAGCTATGAACATTCTTTTTTTTTTGACAGCACTGAGGTTTGAACTCAGGGCCTCACACTTCCTAGGCAGGTGCTGTACCACTTGAGTCACTCTGTCAATCCCGTTTTATATTGGGTATTTTTGAGATAGGGGCTTGAGAAATATTTGCCTGGGGCTGGCTTCAAAACCATGATCCTCCTGATCTCTGCCTCCTGAGTAGCTAGGATTACAGGCATGAGCCACTGGCTTGAACATTCTTGCACAGTTTTTGTGTAGACATAGTTTTCATTTCTCTTGGGTTATGTAGGTAGGAAGGGACTGACTGGATCATATGACGATTCTGTTTGGCTTTCTGAGGAAATGCAGACTGTTTTCCAAAGTGACTGCTCCAGTTTCCCTTCCAGTTCACAGTGTAGAGGATTCCGATTTATCCACATCCTTATTATTGCCTGTCTTTTTTAAATATAGCCATTCCAGTGGGTGTGATGTGGTATTTCCTTGCAATGACAAACTTTTTAAAAAGGTCTAGACAGCAAATATTTTCAGCTATATGAGTCTGCCCAGCTCTGCCATTGCTCAGCTCTGCCACTGAAGCGTGAAAGCAGCCAGAGACAGGAGCCTGGCCATGTTCCAAGGATGTTTTATTTACTAATAGGTGGCAACTCTAGGACCTCAGTCTGCAGACCTTGGTCTGGAGGAACAGCCACCCTCACTTCTGACCAGCCATTCCTCAACCCCTTCTCTGGCTTTATTTTTAATTTTTTTTTTAGTTTTTATGAGACAGGGTCTCACTATAGTAGCCCAGGCTGACCTCAAACTTGCAGTCTTCCTGCCTCTGCCTCCCAAGTGCTGGGATTATAGGCATGTACTGCCATGCCCAGCTCCTGGCTTAATTTTTTTAAATTATATTTCCAATGACTCTATTTGTGCATTAGTCCTTGCCTGTCTCTCCTCTAAAGTTTCAACTTTTTTTTTTCTTTGGTGGTACTGGAGTTTGAAGTCAGGGCTTCACACTTGCAAGACAGGTGCTCTATCACTTGAGCAATGCCTTCAGTCAAGTTTTGGCATCTTGAAGGTAGTGATCTTATTTGCCATGCTCACTGCTTGCCTCCAGCATGTGACAGGGCTTGGCCTATGTTTGAATGAATGAGTGACTGGTGGAACGAATGAATGGAACTCCATTTTCAAATGACTTGTGCTCAATGTCTTCTCTTTAAAATTTTAAGAGAAGTCGTCTGGCACTGCGGCTGGAGTCTCTCAGAATGTGAAATTTGTGTCAAGTGGAGCTGGGTCAGCTAAGTGAGTGTGACTGAGGCAGGTGAGGAAGCTGGGCAGCCCCAGGGTCCCCAGCAAGCCAGGCTGGAACTGATCCTTAGTCTGTCCAGCTCCCTCATCTCTGCCCTGTGAGAGTCAGAGGATGGGCTGGCCCAGAAGAAAGTGTGCAGCCCTTTGCTGTTACCTGAAGGCTGCCTATTGCACTCAGTAGGCCACAAGAAGGTCAAATTAAAATTAAGCTTCTGTGGCTCACACCTGCAATTGCAGCACTTGGGAGGCTGAGGCAGAAAGACTG